CTCTCTCTCTCTCTCTCTCTCTCTCTCTCTCTCTCTCTCTCTCTCTCCTGACATTAGGAACTGTCCAGGCTAAAGGTGGATGCATGATTGGTTGCATCTCTGGAGGCTTGGGGAGCAGGGTTGCTTAGGAAGATGTAGCTATGAAGAGAGGCATCATTCTTGCTAGAGGATGAGATGACTTTGAGCCCCTGATCTTCCTTCTGGGCTCTGGTACCGGAGTAGCATTTAGAGACCGGATTTTGGGCACAAAGGTTTTGCCTCTGAGACTCACCTATAGAGCAAGGGTGTCACAGTATCTCGGGAAGCGCTGATGCATATGCAAGTGTGTACGAGGTATAGGGAGTCCCTGAGATAGAGACTCCTCAGTCCAACAGTACAGAGCCTGGGAATAAGATAGACCAAGCCACATAAACGAATGCTGTCTCTCTCTCACCCCATGCTCGAATGTCTCTTCTATCCTGTGGCAACCAAGAGAGAGACAAGTAAGAAGAGATACCTAGATTCATGGGTCCAAGGCTACTACAGGCTAGGCCATGAGGAAACACTCTAGGCAAGCTGAGATAACCCAGATTTTAGCAGCTTTATTCATCCATCCATACATCTGTCCATCCATCCATCTGTCTGCCTGTCTGTCCGTCCATCTGTCTACCTGTACATCCATCTGTACATCTATTCATTTGTCCATCCATCTATTTGTCTGTCCATTCATCCATCCATTCATCCATTCATCCATACATACATACATACATACATCCATACATCCATCTATCCATCCATCCACTCCTTTCTTGAATGGCTGCAGGGTGCCAGGTTCAGGACCACAGTCAGAAGCTGACAGACATACTATTACCCCTCAGACTAGGGAAGTGTTGGGAGCTCCAGAGAAGACAGACTCAGCTCTTTTTTCTTTATTAATTATTCTAATATATTCTTTGACAGTCTCACACATTTATATAATACATTCTAGTGCTATAGCTCAGGGGTGCTTGAGTGGTAGCCTAGAACACCAAAGGACCTCCATCTGATACCCAGCACCTCCTAAGCTGGGCAGTGTCACACAGGCCTGTTATTCCAGCAGGAGAAGATCAGAGTTCTAAGTCACCACAGCCTCAGTCAGCCCCTGACCCACCTGGACCACGTGAGATCTTGCCCCAAATTTACTTCCTCAACAGAAAATTTAGATCTCTGTTGGTTGTGGCAGCACAACCAGAAAGAGATGCTGACGAGGCAGAGGTAGGAAGATCAATAGATCACCGATAGCCTAGGTTGTACCTTTTGTTCATGGTCATATGACCCTGAACATTTGGGATCTTGTTTGAATCTCTATTCTCATCAGATATTGATGTTTTGGAGAGTAGGTAGTGCCAAGTTTTTACAATGTACTGTTTTAAAGGAAAAGTAGAACAAAATGAATGTTGAGGTCAGCTTAAGTGAGAAACTACAAGAAGCTTTCCTGGTGGAGAGGTGCTGGGCGCAGGGTCTTACCATGTCATCCCCCACATTGTGTATATGAATTCTCCATGGCTTCTTGAGTTTTCTGCCTGGCACAGGTGCATAGTCTTCCTCTGCTCCGCACCCCCACCACCAAGGTCATGTTTTGTAGCCAGGTTGACCTTGAACATGATATCCCCCTACTTTGGTCTCTTTAGTGCTGGGAGGACCATATCTAACTCACACTGTCTTTAAGGGTCTCACTTACCAACACTCTTATCCAGTCAACAAGCAGTGTGAGCCAGGGGTCACTGGCAAGGCCCAGAACTGAATGTAAGTGGATAAAGGAAACTTTGACTACCCCAGGTCATTCTGTCCCATAGAACAGACAGATGTGTGGCCTGAACCTATAGAACAACACATGGCAAGAGCAGAGAAATTAAGAAACAGGAGCTTGCTGTTGCCTTATGGGATTGTGGGCTTCTTCCCTGGAACAGGTGGCATTTGAGCAGAACCCTAGAGAAAAAGGTGGGATTCTGCTGCTTGGGAAAGAGGAGGAGGAGTGGTTATAGGAGTTAGCAAGCCAGGTTAAACACAGTGGGAATCCTGAAGTGTTGCATGGCCACAGTATGTAGCAGGAGAAAAGGTTTGAGAAAGCCATCTGGGGCTGGGTACAGGGCTTTGCACACCACGTGGTAGAGCTGCGGTATTCTTTATTTTTTTTAAAGAATTATTTATTTATTTTATGTACATAAGTACACTGTATCTGTCTTCAGACACACTAGAAGAGGGCATCAGATCCCATTACAGATGATTGTGAGCCACCATGTAATTTCTGGGAATTGAACTCATGACCTCTGGAGGTGCAGAGAGGAGCTTAACCACTAAGCTATCTCTCCAGCCCCTGCAATGTTATTCTTTATGTACTGGGGAGCCAGAGAGGCTTTTCCTAGCTGAAGAATAATAAGATCAGAGTGAAGTTAAGACAGCGTGGGGAGGGAGAGATGGCTCAATGGTTAAAAGCAGGGCTGCTCTTCTAGAGAACCAGGGTTCAGTTCCCAACACCCATTTTGGATACCCATAACCACTGTAACTCCACCTTCAGGAGAGCCCTTTTCTGTCATGCTCAGCCTCTGCGCACGTGGGATGTGCTTACACACACGCAGAGAAACACTTGTATACTCAAATAAAAACAAGCAAACCCTTTTCTTAAAAAGACAGTCATAGAATAGTGTCCACATGGAGTTGATGTGGGGGGGATGGAAAGTGAAGAGAGCTGGTTAAGAAGTTAGAAGATTTGAGAAGACAGCTTCTCACGTAGCTCAGCCGTGTTGGCGGCAACATTGGAACAACGGGAGAGAGAGAGAAAGAGAGAGAGAGAGAGAGAGAGAGAGAGAGAGAGAGAGAGAGAGAGAGAGAAAGGAACAAAATCAAATGATATTCTCCAAGGGCCTCTGCTCTGGGCAACCGTGGACCAGGAATGGAGAAATACAATGAAGGGGGTGACAGTCTGGCCATGACCTTGGACAGATGTCACCGTGAAGGAATTGTGAGAGGAAAGGAAAATTACAGGCATGTCTGGTGAGAACAGTGACTCAAACAAGATCCAATTATATATCCTTAGGCATATGGGATTTTTTTTAAAAAAAAAATTTAAATCTTTCTTAAATTTTAAGCTTGTTGTTTGCTTGTTTGTTTTTTTACTGTTCCTGAGTGCTTCTGTGTCTGTGTGCCACATGTGTGCAGTCCTAGCAGAGCTGGAGGAGGAAATTGGACCACATAAAATGATGTGACCCAAGCAGTTATGAGCCTCCTCGTGTGGGTGCTGGGAACCCAACCCTAGTCTTCTGGAAGAGCAGCCGGTGCTCTTAACCACTGAGCCATCTCTCCAGCCCCCCAAGTACCTATTTCTTAATGTTGGAAGAGGGAATGTCACTGTAGGGAAAACCCATGAGGATGTAGCTTTTGGCCATCTTGGTGCTTCCAACTGGCCTGTCACTCCCTGGCCCTCCCCAGGGTGTGCTGGTCTATTAGAACTGATTGGAACCTGGCTCCAGGCACAGCCCGCCTGGCTGGGTGGACACCTGCTTCAGCCCTGACAAAGCCACATGGGGTCCAGCTCTTCCTGTCCCTTATGACTCATTGGGGCCTTTTCCTGTTGCAGTTACCGCCTGTGTGACCCTTCGGAACAAGCATTATATGGAAAGTTACCCCTCTTTGGACAATATTTTGCTCTGGAAAATCCAGGGATGGTCAAAGTGGGAGACCCCGTGTACCTCCTGAGCCAGTGATGGGAACTGTTCGTTCTGGAAGAACAGATGTCTCTTAAAAACATTTTAAAAACTGACATCACTTGAAATTGTTCTTCAGCCTGTTCTTTGGATCCGTGAGTTCCAAGTGTTTCCTCTTTCAGATTTCCTTCTGTTTCAATGTTTCCTGGGGCCAGCACACAAAGCAGGGAAATATGGTCTTCTGAACTTAGCAGGTCCTTGTCAAGTTTCTTGAAGAATGAAAGGATTATCACATTGCCCTGTTTATAATTACAGAGTAATTCTTCTACTTTGGCATTCACTTGCCAAGACAACAGATGTCCATCATATCCCTAGCCTTCTTTTGGGAAAGAGAAGAAAAAAAGAAGACTGTGTAAGCCAGAAGCATGTTCCAGAATGTTTTGCTACCCCTGGACATGGTGCATACAATGGAAATTAAATACTCTCCCAAGTGAAGTTGGAATGATGGAGTTTACTTTTTCCTCCAAGCCCAGGCTTTGGAAAGGGTTTAAAGAGCAAGCCCTGAAGATACAAATTATCCCATAGATCCTCCTGGATCAGATACTGTTGCTTACCAGACAGTGTGAGGATTTGATGAATCCTTTAGTCCAAGAACACCTCTGAAGTGTCAGGGTTCAAAGCCTGCTCTCTAAGAGCATCCAGACTGGCTTCCAGCTCTGTGAAAAACAAGGTGATTCCACTCTTGAAAAAAAGTGTTGATGTGCCCCTCTAAAGGATTCACGATCGTTCCTAGCATGTGGGGAAAGACAGTGACACCAGAGAAGGAGATACCCTCTGGCTCCTGGGTGTCTAAGATGAGATTTGATCTTGCCCAAGAAAATGATGGCTCTCTTAATATGAGCAAAATGAGGTGGCCCTGAGAGGCTACGGCACTGCCTAGTGGTGGTGAATGGTAGCTGAGCTTACCTTGAGAAAAATTAAAAAGAAGGAAAAAAAAGCAATCTTGTGCTTGTTGTTTAGTTTTAAAAAGTAAAACATTTTAAAAACTGACATGTTTGAAATCATTCTTCAGCCTGTTCTTTGGACTTGTAAGTTCCAAGTGTTTCTTCTTTCAGATTTCCTTGTTTCAGTGTTTCCTGGGGTCAGGACACAGAGCAGAGAAATACAGTCTTGCAAACTTAGCAGGTCCTTGTTAAGTACTAGAAACATTTCTAGCTGAAGGAAGTGGGGGAGGCCCCAGGTAACTCATGCTTCTCTGCTTTAGGAAAGTGAGTTTTTTTTATTATTTTAAATTTTACTTTATTTAAATATGTGTAAATATTATATTAGTATATTAAATATTGGTGTGTGTGTGTGTGTGCCTGTGTGCCTGTGTGCCTGTGTGCCTACACACCAGTGCCATGACACACAAGTGGATGTTGGAGAATAATTTGCAGAAGTCAATTCTCTCTTTGTATCCTGTGAGACCCTGGGATCCACTTCAGGTGGCCAGAGTAGCCACTTTTACCCTCCCTGACCATATCCCTAACACCTTGTAAAGATGGCATCCTCTTTTCCATCGCTCATCACTGCAGATGAATCCCTCATTATCCTAGACAAAACCTTGTGTGAGGTAGCTAGATCTACCACTGCATGGTATCCTCCCAAATGGAAGACAGCACCCAGAATCCTCCTCACTTAACACTTGCCTCCTTCTGCCCACTGGGTGGAAGGTTCTGCTTGAAGACAGAGAACACAGTGACCTCCAGAAGCTCTGAGCAGTTCTCAAGCTCTCTGTCAGTAAGGTTTAAAGGCTGTTTACCTGTGTTTACTGTGTATTTAATGAGTGGGTTAGTACTAAAGGAAAAGCTGATGTCCCATTTACTTTGGATACTGATCACACACACACACACACACTTGAAATATAGGATCAGGTCCGTGATATATCACAAACCCTCAGAAACAGCTTGTAATAGCCAATGACAGACATGTGAGCTCATGCCCAAATATCTGCATTTTACGGTAATCATGGCGGATAGAACCCCAGAGCTGCAGAACAGAACTAGAGCTGTGCAATGACTCCAGGGAGCAACCTTAAAGGCTTGCTGTCATGGCACTCCACAAAAAGAGCTAGAAACTTGCCAGCAGGAAGTAAAATAGCAACTTAGGCATACAAGAACTGAATGAAAGCAGGGTGGAGCTGAGTGTGGTGGGATGAACCTATAAGCCCAGCTCCTGAAGGACTGAGTCAGGGATTCATCACAAGTTCAAGACTACATTGAGCTCCATAGTGAATTTGAGCCTTGTTGTAGTTTTGTTTACGCTGCTTCGATAAAATACCATGCCCAGAAGCAACTTAGAGGAGAAAACATTTATTTAGCCCATAATTCAAGGTCCATCGTGTGGAAGAGTCAAGGCTGTGGGTATTTGAGGGAGCGAGTTGTACTCACAATCAAGAGGAGAGAGAGAAATGAATGCATGCAAACTCACTCACTTGATTGTGCTTAGCTCAATTTCTGCACTCTCATACAGTTCAGGATGCCCCTGCCTAGGGAATGGTGCCACCCACAGTGGGCTGGGTCTTTTTATATAAATTAAGGCAATTTCTTTTTTTTTCTTGTTTATGAAAAAAGTATAATTCAGGTAACCCAAATTAAATAGTCTTCCAACTGAATGGTGTTGATGGGTTTTGATCAAAGTAAAAAAAAAAGCAAGAGTTTGAGTAAGGGTGGAGGAACAAGGGAGCAGAGTAAGTTAAAGAGGGCTGAGGTGCAGTGGTGGTGGAGTGCTTTTGTAGCATGTGGATGGTTCTAGGTTTTGATTCCCAGCACCACAGGTAAAGTACAAGTTGTATACATTTCAGTGCAGCTAGTGAGGTCTAACTGGCTCAGCCCTGTGCTCCTGTTGTTTAAAGGATATTATAAAGCTGGATTTTATATTGTGCTCAAAATACATTAGACTATCCAGCTAATAAAAATCTTAAGGCAATTTCTTATAGATATGTCTACTGGCAAAACCAATATAGGCAATGCCTCATTGAGACTCTCTTCCTAGGTGGTCCTAGGTTGTGTCAAATTTACAAAACTAACCATTATATGCCCAGTATAGGTTATGTAGTGAGCCTCTGCCCTTCATTTTATGTGTGGATGTTTGTGTGTAAAAATGCCAGAGGTCAATGTCAGGTATCTTCCTAGGTACCTCTCCATCTTAATTTTTGATTAATCTGGATTGATCTGTGTCTTAGCATTTTAATTCATTGACTGGCCAGTGAGTCCCTGGGATCACCTGCCTCCTCCCTGACAGTTTCTGGGATCACTGGGTTCTGTTTCCCCTTCCTCCCTGACTGGAGTAACATATGCACCTGGCTTTTTAATGAGTTAAACATCTGAGCTCATATCCTCACACCAGATCCTCATGCTTGCACAGTGAGCACTGTGCACACTGAGTCAAGCCATATCCCCTGCCTCCGGCCCAAGGGTTTCTGTTGAATGTGTATCCCTTTCTTTCTCACTCTCATCAAGTCAACAAGTCCTGAGCTGGACTGTTCTAAGTCAGGGACCACTTGAGTTTGAATTCCTTGAAGTGACAGCATCTCTCAGGCATGGCCTTGACATGACACGTAACTGAAGGGTTGTTGATTGGACAGCTCTGCTGGATTTTCTATGGTGAAAGTCTGAGTTTGCAGGGGTGGGGGTGAGAGGACCTGCTCTTGAAAAAGAATACCTTGGAACAATATGTTTGAGAAGTCCAGCATGCCTCAGTCTTCTTCTCAGACACAACAGCCCATCTGGAGGCTCTGGGAAGGCCTGGGTAAAGACATGCTAGTGTTTCACTTGGTCCCTTGAGAAATGTCATTCTGGTATCGGGGGAAGTTGTGGCAGACCTCAGGAGTTCTGGTCAACAGGAGTGGTGGATTCATGGGGAGCCTGGAAGAGATAAAGTAACCCCAAAACAAGCCCTCTGTAGTTCTGGCCTCATGACAACACCCACACTGTAGAAGTGCCCAAGTGCACTAAGGAGGGCTGCCCTCCCTTTATTTGCTAACTTCTTCTTTCTACTGCAGGCCTTCTTAATGCTATCTATCTATCTATCTATCTATCTATCTATCTATCTATCTATCTATCTATCTAGTTATATATGTGTGATATATATGCATTTTTGGAAACATAGTCTAGCTGCATATCCCAGGATGGTCTTAAACTCATAATCCTCCTGTTTGAGGCTGTCCAGTGCTGGTGTGCGTGCTGTGCATGGCCACACCCAGCTCTATATTTACTTTTAACTGTGCTCCTATTAGTGAGAACATAGATTACTTATGCTACTTTCTTAGATATGGTCCAGTGAATTACGACTGTTCTCCATCTATCCCCCCCTCTCTCATCTATCCATCCATCCATCCATCCATCCATCCACCCACCCATCCATCCATCCATTTTTTGAGGCAGGGTCTCATGTAGCCCAGATGACTGTGAATGTCTGACCTTCTTGGTGCTGCCTCCTGTGTTCTGGGATTAGAGGCGTGCACCACCACATCCAGTTGTATGCAGTGCTGAGGATCAAGCCCAGGGATTCATGCACGCTGGGCAAGCATCTGCCAACTGTACCACATTCACCAGCCCCATGTTATGACAACATTGCAAATTACTTAATTTCAAACAAAAGGAAAAAAAATCTCTCAGTACAGCCAAGTTCTTGGAATCCATCTAATAAAAAATGTGCTTGCTGTACCCCACCCCCTGATCCCCATTTGCTCTGACTACACACCCCTAAGAAGCAGGGAGGCCACGGCTTTGACTAAAACTCAAACACAACTCTAGCCAGGACAGAGGAATCATCGGCTTCTACGCTGTGTCCCAGCTCAGAGACAGGAATTACCCTTGCTCTCAGCATTAGTCTTCTTGGAAAGTCTGTGGGCTCTGTTTCTTATCCACCTTCTCCAGAGGCCATTTTGGATGGGTGGGTCAATTTGGCTGTTGACCAATCTAAAGCATTCACCCTTGGTGGTCCTCGGCCATGTGCCTTACCTTCACAGAGCATTCTACACTGGGACTCTCAGCCTCCCATTCTCTTCTCTTTGCCTCTCCATGCGTCCCTGAGCTGAGTCTTCAATAGTCCAATCCCCATTGAGCCTAATGGGTTGCGGGTCAGGGCCACCTTCTCTCACCCTCTTTAGGATTTTTTCTGAGGGTCCTGTATATAAAGTATTGTCATAATTATCCCTGATTAATATTTTTGCACCTAATAAAGTTCCAGGGCCTGGGCTGGGGAGGCTCATCTTCCCAGATGGCTTCTCCAGCAATTAAAGTGACTTGTTAGTTGGAGGCCTTGGGATGGCTGAGGGCAGCTGGAGAGCTGTCCTTTGCAGGCAGTTCTGGTTAACATCAACCAGGAAAGCTCTCTGTAAACACATGAAAAATTGATTGTGCTGCACTCACATAGCTACTGCGGATCTGAGCCCGGATGACTCATTTGCGAGGCATCCCTGTCGTCTGGATGCCATAACATTGGAGAAATGATGACGGTTTCTTGGAGGTTCTTCTGTGGCCGGCGTAGCCAAGTCGAAGACTGTAATGGTTTGTTATGATGACCTTTGCTATTCCATTAGGCTCAATTGCTTTAAAAAATGATGTGCGCGTACTTTAGAAACATTTTTACCCTTTACGTTGACCTGACATCATAGTTTATATTAGCAAATGTATTAATGACAGAGGAGTGTTTTCATGTCCCAAGGACAAGTTTTAACAACCATAATCTGCCCTCAGTCATCATAAATATAAATGTATTGGTCAAACAGACCTCGTTAATGTGGCCAAGATAAATGCAAGTCTATATTTTAAGGCAGTAGGGGTAGTGGAAGCCCTAGAGGATACTCAGAGCTTTCTTTGTAGGGCTGTGAGGTTCTGTATATGTGTTATCTGCAGGCTGAGAAAATTAACATGTTCCCCCACCCCCACCCCCGCTCTGGTTCTGCATCAGACAGATATAAATGTCTTAAGGATGTCAAGTGAGATTGTTCACATAGTTTCTGGACACCGTTAATGCCTGGTGGGGTGAATCTTAGTTCTTAAAGC